TATCACCAGGATGCAATTACACAATGCTAGCATACCATTTCCAGTTTATTTTTATTTCAATTTTTAATTTTTTTCATCGCGCTGTGATGATGTCAAATGCGCGCTTTCGTCGATCGCGCTTTTGTGGACCGCGGTTTTGACGGGTCACGCCTTCAAACCAGGGGTGAAATTCAGCAGGTTCTGACAAATTCTGGGGAACCGGTAGCAGAAATTTTGAGTAGTTTGGAGAACCGGTAAATAGCACCTCTGGCTGGCCACAGAGTGGTGAGGGAATGGAGATTTTGCAGCATCCTTCTCCTGCCATGCCCACAAAGCCACGCCCACAGAATTGGTAGTGAAAAAAAAATGAGTTTCACCACTGCTTCAGACTAAGTCAGGAAAATAGTTTGAGGGCAAGAGAAGAATAGGAAACGAAGGGAAGATCATCATGAACTTTCAGTAGTGCGAGCAAAGCTTTTGCAGTGAGGAATGCAGACTCAGCATGGGGAGTGAAGGAGGAAGATGCTCAGTTTATGCGATTCAGGGGCTCTAAGCAGCTCAGTTGCAAACTTAGAGACCGCATTACACAGTGATTGACTTTAACCTTGGTCTGGTTAATGTTCGCTTCCCCATATCGAGCAAATCCAGAAAATCCAGTCCTTCCCCATCCCAGCTCATTGTGCTGCAGGAATGCAGTTGTTTGTCTATTTATACTAAAGCAGAGTTATTTTAAAAACCTTTTGCGGGAATTGCCTAGATATGTTTATCCTGTTAAAGCTTGGCAATGTATCAAGCCGTATCAAGCCGTGTTTGTTTTTGTTTTGTTCCTTCCCCAAATGTGATTCAGCAAAAGGCTTTTGTTTTCTTTGCTGCTTTCAAAGTGGAAGGCGGGAGAGGCTGTTTTGGCATTGTTAGTCTTAGGCTATCAAGAAAGGAGGTGTTTTTTTGCATTTTAACCACCAGTGGAAATGGGTTCCTTTTGTATTTTAATTTTTAATTGTGCCTCTCTTCCGGACTTTTCCCAGTGAGATCGTTGAACTCCTGTTGCACAACTAAATTTGAAATCTAGAGACTGGGCAAGAAGTAAAACCTGCCCTGTTAAAGGCTCATTGCGAGAACAGGCACTATTTGTTCTTTAAACTGGCAGGTTAAACCCCAGCTGTCAATTCCAGGAGTGGTTTTGTTGACTGTAAAAGACAGCTTGCAAAGCCAAAAGCAAAGAGAAAGGTTAATCGTGACCCTTTCCAGTTAAAATGCTGGAGCACTTTAATACAGTTTGCTGGATTATTTATCTAGGACCAGAAGAGCTTTCTGCTTCAAAGCAGTTCATTTGCCAAGAAACTAGATGGGGGGAAAAACTGAGCATTTTGCAATTCAATACATTAAACATATAGATTTATTTTTGGATCAGACTCTGGTTTTGAAGTCTGGAGCACTTGGATTCTCCAATATCTTCAATATTAAATTAGATTTCCCACTTATTATACAGGAAACCTTCTTAAGATGTTTGCATCTTGCAGCTGGGTTTACAATTCCAACCTTACTTTGCTTCACTAGAACTGTTTTAATAAACCAGCATTAAGTCCTCCGCCAGCTATGCATCATGGTNAACACCCTGTTTCAGTTTAGCCTGATTAGAAAAAGAAAAAAAAATCTGCCTTTGCCGCCCAGCAATTTGCCTCCTTGCAGCAAACAGTAAGTTTCACTTTCAGTTTCAGCATGGGCCTCCCGTTTCCCTTTTGCTGCAAGGAGGTAAATTGCTACGAGGGCAGAGGCCAAAGGATGGGGGCCGATGTGTGTGGGGGGCTACATTCAGTGTATAAGACGCACCCCAAATTTTCACCCTCGTTTAAGGGAGAAAAAGGTGTGTCTTACACTCCAAAAAATACGGTATATCCTGCTTTTTCTCTTTGTTTTCAGGATGAGCATAGGCAAAATAGAGGAGCTTCAGGTAGAATTTGAGGGCAAAAACTTGATGAATCCAAGGAAAAGTCATTGGAGTTAGGATGGGTCAGTGGGCTTAGGAAGCAAAAGAAGTGTGACAGCATAATGGTATTTGTTGTGGCACCTGCCTTGTGGAACAACCTTTCCTATCGAAACTTGGACAACTCAGACTCTGCTGGTGTTCTAGAAGGCCTTATTTTTCCCCAAGCTTTGGGACAGAGATGTTAATGGAACCTGGCCTGTGAGTATATTTTCTTTCTGCTGTTGAAGACTTCTTGGTTTGAAGGTGTTGGGAAATGTTTAGGGTTGTCTTGACTGGTTTTTCATCCATTGTTGCTTTCACTGCGCTTTTATTTTTTTCTGTTTCCCACTGTCATTCAAGTGCAACATGCATCCTATAAAGGAAAATATTTGTAGCTCAGGGTAGACATGAGGGGTCCTTGGTGCTCTCTGAACTTGCTTGTTTTCTTCCAGATGTTTCGTTAGGGAACAGCTTCCTTTTTTGATTTCCCAACACCAAGAACTATCTTGGCTAAGATGGGTGGTTATATTGATGTCCTTCATCCATCCATCCATCCATCCATCCATCCATCCATCCATCCATCCATC